AGACAGATCTCCCCCGCCCCCCCACACTCCCCTCCCCACAGCTGCTTTGTGCGCAGGGGCGCTTGTGTGAAGGGGTGAGGGAGCACTCACGCTGGCACTGGCACATGCGTGTGCAAAGCAGCTGTGGGTAGGGGAGTGCGTGCAAGGGGAGGTTTGTCTTTGCGGCCCGATCAGGCTCAAGCCACGGACCGGCAATGGGCCACAGACGGGGCTTGACGACCTCTGTATTCCATAACATAAATCTAATACTGTATTCTAAATGTCTATTTAATATTTTGTATTATTTTAGACTGCTCTTGGAACTTCTGCCAGAAAAGATTATTCCCTGAGAAGTAAACATTGCATGTCAAGAAGAAAATCACCTGGAGATACAGGTGGAACATTCCAGAAATTTGGCTCTCTCCTGCAGAGTTCCCCCACAATCCTACAGTCCAAAGGTACATATCACGCCATAGATTGATCCTATAGCATTTCTTTGAGCCCTATGCATTCCAAAGGAGAATGTTTCCATTTTTAAAATGAGCTTGAAAAAGCCATCAATCTTCTGGCTATCTGCTCTCATCATTCATAGCATTTTGTTGCATTTGTAGCATTTTGTTGGTACTGTAGTGTGCATAAACTAATGTAATGATATTTACAGCCTGATCCCGATCCAGATGAAAGACTTTGAAAAGGGACCAACTTGGTTTCCCGGCAGAGCTGCACTGTCTCTTGTTATTAGTGTTAGTATAGCAGTGTAGTGGTTACAGTTATGGCATTGGACTTGGAATTTGTTTAGCCTTTTGTTTCTGTTCTTGGGGTTTTCTTGGCAAAGATACAGGAGTGGCTTGCCAGTTCCTGCTCCAGTTGGATTGCGTTTAGTCAGAACTCTCCACTATGACCTGTCCATACTCAGGCCCTTTTGCCACCACAAGGCAGCAATCCGTGAAGGGGCTAGGACTACGAATAGAGAAACCCAAATTCAAATCAATACTTCATCATGAAACTCATTGAGTTTATAGCCCTTGGCGACTATAGTGCTATTCACTTATCTAAATTAGTGGAGTATCTGTTGAGGGGAGGATCGAGCCCTGCCACACACATACCCCAAATTGTTGTTTTCAACAAATAAAAGTGACAGTAAGAAGATAAAGAAAGTGGTATCTTTTCATAAGCCAGAACTCAAATTTTTAGAATAAAAGAGGATTGTTAGGACAAATGGGTAGGAAAGGGAGAACCATTATGCTTCCTTTAAGCACCTTGAATGAAAGGTGGGACACAAATGTGACCAACCATTGAAGAAATTTGTGTGTGTGTGTGTGTGTGTGTGTGTGCGCGCACACACACACACACACACACACACACAACTACAGTGGTGCCTTGCTAGACAATTGCCTCACGGGACGAAAAACCCGTAAGACAATTGGTTTTTGCAATCAATATGGTGCCTCGCAATACTTTTTTTCTATGACCGTGCTTCACAAGACTTTTTTTTTTTTTGAGACACGTGCTTCACAAGACTTTTTTTTTTGAGACCGATGCTTTGCAAGACTTTTTTTTTTAACACCGATGCATAGGAAACCTGGCAAGAGGATATTTTCACAAGGTGACGATTTTTGCGGAACGAATTAAAATCGTCTTGCGAGGCACCACTGTATATGGGAATAGGAGATAAAAGTGCAAATGTTATGCCCAGTTTTATTGTGTATTGCCCAGATTGTGGTTTTTAAAAGAGCTTTCGGGGGGAAGGGGGAGACCTATTAAAATAAGGTTTCTCTGTGAAGTTGGTTCTTCTTTAGTGGCGGTTGGGGGTGAGAGGGTAACATGATCTATAAAGAAAAGTGATGCCCCTTTGGTGTGCTTTTAAAAGGGTAACACATTACTGAAATGCCTTTCCAGCAAAGAAGTTCATGGCAACCTTAAAATCTTCCAAAGTTGCTGAGGAGAAATCTGTCAGAGATGTGAAGCCGAAGAGAGCTAAGCGCACGCTACATTCAACTGATATTTCATTACCTATGGACTTCTCTGGTCATGTGGTAAGTAATGTCATGAAAGAAGCTTTAAAGGCCTGTAGCCTTTGAAAGAGAAGACAGAGTGACATGTTAACACACCTGAAGATCAAGTCTTACTGCACCTTGCCATTTTAAGCCACCCATGAAATGGGATTTTATGAAAAGAGACATGGGGTTCTGGTCAACTACTGCTTGCTTTGGATAGCTGATAGAAAAGGGCTAAAATTTGACCCATGGGATCTGACTACCCCTGACTCAAGTAGTTCTTGATCACTGGTTTTTCCCTAGCTTTTGGAAATCCCAGCAAGGAACTTGAACAAGTCTCTCCTCTAGCCTAATGTTAGCTGTATGCTCAGTATGTAATAAAACATCCTCACATTTCTTTTCAGATTGTTATGGATCAGAAGGAAAGTGATCATGAAATCATCAAGCGGCGGCTACGAACAAAGAAATTGCGTTAATCCTTTTAATGGAAAAATCATGTGTTTAGTTTTTGGTGGCTGAATTTCAGAACACAATGCTTCTAAAGTGAAAAGCAGGTGTAGTTTGAAAACTGCAGCATTTGCACTACTGGTCATATGTACATTGTAAATGTGCTCCTTTTTTGTAATTTCTTACAATTGTGTACAGACTTTGTTGGTAATGGATGTTGTTAAATTGGAGGAAAAGAAAAGTATGGACCCCATGTGTGTTTCCAGTTTGTTCTGTCCAAGACAATAATCAGTTTTTAAAAATGGACATGGGGCACAGAACTCTTCACCTTCAGAATCTTGGTTTGGACCATGTGGCATCCCCACCCCGGAAACAATCCATGTTTCTAGACCATAAGCCTCGGGTTGGGGAACCATTGCCCCTCCAGATGTGGCTAGATTACAATTTGTATTCTCTGTGACTTTTCGCTTTGCTGTCTGGTCAAGAGAGGAGTTGAGCAACATTAGTATTTCCCCACTGATGGCACTTTTATGCTGCTTTTCTACTTTTAAAAAAAGTGCTTGAGGTACAAACATCCCTATAAATAAATCAAATGGCAAAAGGATCAAAATAATCCCGATGGGCAATAAATGGCAAAGGGTTGAAAAGTCTGGTTTGCAGAGAGATGCCTTCACACCCATACTGAAAACTGGGAACAGCTCCTAACTGTGAGGGAAGTGCACTCTGTAGTTTGGAAGCAACATAGGAGAAGGCCCTCTTACCCCATGCCTCACAAGCAGGCTTCCACAGGTAGTGTCTTTTGCTGAAGGCCTTGGCATCTAAGCAGGTTCATAACGCCCCTTAAGACAGCCAGGCCAAAACCCCTTTAGAGCATTAAAGGTGAAAGCTGGGCTGAGAAAGCCATTAACAAACAGTAGCAAGGTTACAGGTCGTTCACTTTTCTTTAAAATATGCAGGCAATGTGCATACAGCAACGCACCTTGCACAAAGAGTTGTAGGGCACTTCCACTTAATCTCAGAGGAAGTGATCACTCCTACAAGTTCCTTCTCGGTGTGATTACCTCCTAAATTAGAGGAAGCTTAACACAGTTTTTGAATTAAATACTTACTGTTCTTGGTTTGCCTCCAGAAACAGGAGGGGTTGCCACTTCAGAGTGTCTGCCTGCCTTGAGAGTCCTTGAGAATTCTTCAGCCAGGTTAGGGCGGTTCTGTGGGGATGCAACAAATTCTAAGGCTTTAGTTTCTCCCTTGGATAATCTTTATTTTTAAATGAAAAACAAATTAATGAGTGCTCTTAGGCTAAATCTGAGTCGTATATATTTATTTTAATGATTGCGCTAATGCACATTTGTGCAACCAGCAGGGAGTGAAATTAAGCGCTTCAAGAGCCTCACTATAGTAATTCTCTTCTGTCAGCCAGAATGGAATTTATGCTCTGTGTCTCTTATTTGTCTAAGGAGGGCTGAATCCCTCCATTATTTCTATGTGACAGCTTGGTGTTTTATCTTTTAGAATTGTGCACTTGCCCGCCCCCCCCCTTTGCATTGAATTTTCATCCCACTCAGGGCACATGAATGCTGGGAATGGAGCTTTTTGGGGTTTTAGGATACCCTTTCCCATTCTCAGCATTCACCCAGAACCATCTCCCCAGTGAATTCTGGGATTGAGAGTCTACAGCCAGGGAGGTTCAGAGGGATTCCTTCATGTTCTTTCTGGGATGCTTCTGCTTTGAAAAGCAAGGAAAGTGTCCTGGTGCACTACACATAGAACTCCCAAAGTTGTCTGAGACTCACAAAGATTGGTGGGAGTTCTAATCATGACACTCGGTAGGCTGTATAGAGGGTGCCTCCAACGAAACAACCCTTCCTCCTATGAACATACCTCTATATAGTCCCATCCCTAATGAGTGCTGCACGTGCATGCACACACACATGCTCCTCAGTTGTATGATGGGAATGCCTCCTAGCACTTTTTCTAAAAAGCATTTTGACCCTATCCCATGCAAATCATTTATAGTGGAGAGCTAATGTTTGATTTAGACCAGGACCCACATTCAAATCTTCATATTTTTCCAAAAATGAGAAAGTTCACTCTCTTTGTGTACTTCAGCTAGGATGGCTAATGATGATCTAAATAAATAGGCCCAGTGCTATAGATGAACATTGAATGTTGACAACACCAGTGGTCCACACGCAGCCATTCTCAACGGTTTTTGTCCACTGCCCTTTTAGGACCTCTTCTCAGGTTTCAGGGGGAGGCTGCCAAACCAAGGATACAACACAAACGGATATTTTTCAGTCTATTTTTAAATGAAAAACAAATTAATGAGTGCTCTTAGGCTAAATCTGAGTCGTATATATTTATTTTAATGATTGCGCTAATGCACATTTGTGCAACCAGCAGGGAGTGAAATTAAGCGCTTCAAGAGCCTCACTATACTAATTCTCTTCTGTCAGCCAGAATGGAATTTATGCTCTGTGTCTCTTATTTGTCTAAGGAGGGCTGAATCCCTCCATTATTTCTATGTGACAGCTTGGTGTTTTATGCTTTAGAATTGTGCCCTTGCCCCCCCCTTTGCATTGAATTTTCATCCCTCTCAGGGCACATGAATGCTGGGAATTGAGCTTTTTTGGGGTTATAGGATACCCTTTCCCATTCTCAGCATTCACCCGGGTTGAGAATGACTAAAGGGATACTCATTTGTGCTCATACTGTTCACACTTGTCAAGAAATAGCCCTGACAATTGCTTTGTGTTTGAGTGAAGTAGTTAACTGGTGAAAAAAGGAGTCAACTTCTGGGATTTCCCCTTGCTTGCTGTCTCTGCAGTAAAGACAAAAGGATAACCTGTAGATATGCAAATAAGCTCACAATATAAGATGAGTGTAACATCTGGCCAGTCAGTGTTACACACAGAGGTTGTCTTTTTTCAAATAAAGCCACTAAAATAGTTTGCACCAAACTAGCCAGATGAGGAAGACCTTTTTCTAAAAAATCAAAATTCAGCATTCAACAAATGGCTTTCGGTTTAAATAATGTGTGTACATACCTGACCCCTGATTAAACTGCACAAAAGTAAGTGAAACTCCACTAGATGGCGCTTTGACCCTTTCTTTAAAAACCCAATAAACTTTTCAAAGAAACCCTGGTCTATTTCCTTCTGATCTATTCAGGCACAGATAAAAGTAAATATTTCCATATCTTTTAAAAAGCATTGAACAACTAGACCTACAGGTTATATTTGAGGACTTGCTCAATTTACATACCACAAAATATTGTTAAATAAAGCAGGAAATATTAAATAGCATATGGCTAGCCTAAACAATTTTCCATGTGAAGTTTCTGCAAATAATAACTAGTGCTTCTGTACTGACAGGTTTAAAAGAAACCCACTCTCCACTCCAAAACTTATATACTGTACATTGATAGATAGCAGCAATTGCGCTTCACAATCTCTTTTTCATTGCTTTTAAACTAATTCCTTTTTAAGTGAGTTGTTGGAGAGGAAATTGCTTTTTGAATGCCAATATGGTTTTGGTGATTTCCAAACAAGATGGAAGCTGTAACTCTTAAGTGGTAACATTTTAATACAATCCAAGCACAATTGTATTAATATAGCTGTAATTCTGTAGCAAATGCCACATAAAAGATGGGAAAGAGAGCAATGGTAGCTTTGGAAAGCTGATTAGGCATCCTTGATAAGATTGGGACATCTCTTGTTGAAATATGTTGGAAAACTAAGGTGAGGGGACAGATGGGTGGTGATATTGAGGTAAAGGACATTTGCTTATGAATGGGGGATAAAGCCAGTGGTCAGTTGCAATAAAGTAGATCCATTCAATCAACAGGACTTTGATAGGTACATAAGTATTAATGGATCAAACAATCCTGCTCTAGTTGAGGCTTGCTACTGAATTTTGCACCATATGTATAGCAAAAAGTTGCTGCCATCATCACTCAGAGTTCTGCATCTTTCCTAGTAGCTGGAAGAAAGTGTGATTGTTGCTACACAACCTTACATAGAACATAACACCAATAGCTTAACTGCAATGTTATTTACTTCATTGCATTTCCCCCCTAATTTATTTATAGAAAATGACCCAATATTTTACAGTTAAAATATCTTTTTTTTTAAAAGTACCCGTTAAAACATAAAGACATGATGAATATTAGAACACAATTAAGTCCACTTTCAGTATTCCAAGAAACAGAACGAAAAACCATTTAAGAACTACTCGAGTGAGTCCACTTTCAGTATTCCAAGAAACAGAATGAAAAAAGAACTACAGATTATCAACAGAAAGATGCAGCAATTCCTGAAAAGCCTCCATTGTTAGGAATTAGCTGGAAAAGGCCTACCTACACATTAAGGTATTTGTCTGATATCGGAAGGATATCAGACAGATGGGCAACCTAGCATCCCAAGACGGTGTGTGGCTATTGAAAAAGTCCTGTCTCAGATCCTCCACGAGCACACCTGTGAAGGTGGCTGGACCAAGAGGTCTTAGAGCCTAGGAGCAAGCTTACTGTATATGAGAAGATGCACACTTTCAGATAGCTTGGATGTACAGTCATATACAGCTCAGTGTTGTATCCCTTGTTGTAAGCCGCCTAGAGTGGTCTATCGACTAGACAGGCGGGATATAAATAAAATAAATAATAATAAATAAATATACAGCTTGAAAGGTCATGAGTAGGACTTTGAATTGTGCCTGTGACTGGATCAGTCACAAGTGAAGCTGCTGTAACAAGGACATTAAATTTTATTGACCTTGGCTTTTAATTTTTGTTACCACCTCTGTTACTGAATTTGACAACTACATGCCCCATATAATTATGTTTCTAATGTTCCTTTTTTCCCAGCTATGGTCTATTGATCTGATTTTTTTTTTACTGATCTAACATTAGATTGGATAATTAATGTTTATAGCCTCTCTTTATAATGGGAGCTTTTAATGTCTGTGGATGTGTGTGTGTTAACTAACGAAGAGATGGCATATAAATGTTCTCAACCCAGAGGTTCATCCTAAAATTATGTATGAGCTGCATGCTATTCAAAAAAAACCCAGACACATAAAACTGAGAACTCTGCTGGTGGCTGGGCACTGGTGGCTGTTATAGGCTATGCTACCTTGTAATCCAGAAATCCTCCTGAGCATTGGCTATATTAGCCACCAAGAATAAATATTAGTTTGATGGGAACTCCAGACCTGCTTGCTTTGCAACCACCTGTAAAACTTTTGGGACTGGCAGCTGGCCTGAGAACTAGGGCTGTGCATGGGCCCTTGGTTCAGTCTGAAGGCCAGTTCAAGGTTTTGAGATGCACTCTAAATTGTTCTAGACCAGTGGTTCTTAACCTTTGTTACTCAGGTGTTTTTGAACTGCAACTCCCAGAAACCTCAGCCAGCAGAGCTGATGGTGAAGGCTTCTGGGAGTTGCAGTCCAAAAACATCTGAGTAACAAAGGTTAAGAACCAGTGCTCTAGACCACTTTGTGTCCCATCTGAATCCATTTGGGCTACAGAGCTGGAGCAATTTGTAAGTGTGCAAAGCAACACATTGGAGAAGCAAAATGGCTATCACTTGTTCCATTTTTGCACTGATGTCCATGAAATTTGGAGACCTCATACACCCTAAAGAGGGGAGTAAACCTGCCAAATTCTAGACAGCTAGATTTGGGAGTTGGCATACTAGGCATCTTTAAAGTTTCCTTTAAAAAAACACAAACATACACTAATAAGCTAGTACATACTTGTGCCCCAGATCTGATTAGCTTTATTTAACATTTGCTTTACCTCACTTGGTAATTTAATTTAACCATTCTGATTTGATCCTAACGTTATATGAATTGGTTCAAATGAAGTTGGTTGGATTCAGAATCTAAGACTTGTCCGAATCCAAAGCACAACCCTGATCGTAACCATTCTCTCTGTCTCACAAGAGATCAGGCGTGCATACAACAGAGGGCCTTTTAGTGGGTGGCATCTTGATTGCCGAACTTCCCCCTGCTTGGTCATTCTCATTTTTTAACAGGTGGCAATGTCTTATTCT